TAACCCACTTAGTGACTGACAGTGGTTGACCCTAGTACTGGTTGATGCCCCCATCCTGAGGATGAAATGTACTTTTGTTCACCAAAACAAGACACTTAAAATATTTCTACTGATTATTTGCATTAAAAGAACAGAAAATCACAGATTTACCTACCTGATCGCAGATATCACTAAATCCATTACAGATACATGGACGACAGACGGGGAAATCCCACGTGCCAGGTTTGCACATATCACAATGCTTGCCCATTATACCGGGACGACAGTCGCACAAACTGGTGGCCAGATTGCACTGAAGACTTACTGACCCTTGAGGATCACAGCTACAGTCTAGAAAAAAAGAATTATCCAGGGAGATGGTAGAGTTATCTCAAATTGTTCATGAAACGTATGGATTGATAAGTATCGCATTAAATCTTCAACGATTGTATGCTAGCGAACGAAATGGTACTGAAACCTACTAAACACGGCTAAAACTTACAGATAATGATTATGAACAAAAATGAAATCCTCATTTGCTTACTTTTAATTGTAAGTAGTGGTGTAAGATAAATGACTCTAATTTGGGTTGACCATTACTCAGATTTCTTTGCCATGTATAATAATAGGTAAACCGTAAACTTGGGGTGCATGTGAATAAAGTTTCTTTCTAAATAGAGCTCATCAGTAGTGAATATCTAACGCTTCGTCCTGGTTTTGAACCCTGGGTCCATTGCATGGATGACGTGCTTTGCCGCTGTGCGACACAGCACTTCCGCAATCATAGTAATGGAATGATTGAGGCAGGCTTATTTGGGCGTGGTCTTCAGTGATAGGCAGTAATTAAATTTTGCCCGACAGCAACAAGGGGGACACAGTGCGCTATCGGTCGATTCCAGTCGAAAGCATGCCGTCACATGAGCTCTTCTTTGTAGGTTTTCNAAACCTGCCAGGCCTGAATTTTTCGTAAGCAGCACTGAACTTTATACATTTCGTTCACATTTTGGGAGATCTTTTTCAATGTCCACAATGTAACTCCATTGATTGTGAGAAGTGTGCAGATGAACAGTTACGTGCAGCGACCAAATAGAAGATTAGCTGTACTTCATACAAATTTCACCAAAAATAATAAACCGATTTCGAGCCCAGTGGCAAAAGTCGGTATGGTGAAAGTTTGAAATCTGTGCTATTTTGAGTGCCAGTTAAAGCGAGAAATAAAGAACATATTATTAAACAAATCGTGTTGCTTGCCACGGTTCGTTCTAAAAAGTCATTATTATTGTTACTATTGTTGTCATTACAAGTGGGGATCAGCATCAAACAAAAGTGCCCGATGCACTATTCTAAAATTCTGCAAAACAAAGCCTGTTCGATAACAAGTGCCCACTGAGGTATCGGCAATGGAGGGAGACGATTGACTTTAATCAAACGATTTAGTTCAGATGTTTTCATCCATGGAATTGGAAAATAATCAACCATAGAAGAAACAAGCCCACACCCACTCACTTTTACATCCGTTCGCACTGAAATCGTAATGATACGGTGCGCACCGATCACATCGTCTTCCAACCACACCCGGTTTGCATGTACACTGACCGGTAGCCTTGTCACACACATCAGTATAGGAACCGGTAATGTTGCACAGACACGCTTCAAGAGAGTAAACGGAATAGAGTGATTTTGTAATATTAGCACAATAATTCAAGATGGTTTTCTTTTAAGTTATACATTCAGCGCAAAGAGTGGAAAACGGACAGTAGAAATTGCAAATTTATACTCCTCAGCAATCGCTTTCTAGCAGTGGATATGGATTCTGCGCCACCGGGAATTCGAAATTCCACATAGCTCAATCAATTACCTGTGAAACAGTTTCTACCCCTGCTTTTATATATCAATGTAAGCTTTGTCCTCTCCCTATTGATTATAAATCGCGGTATGATGAGCAATAGAAGTGGCAAATCTACTGTTCACTCTCGGAAATTGGAAACCTTAACTCTGTAACTCGGAGTGGTAAACAGTATACGGTTCCTGATTGGTATTGAAATGAACTACAATTTTTGTGACTTCAATCACTTGAACTGCGCCATTATACGAACGGAAGTACCCGTAAGGGTTTTTGATAGTAACCCAAAACTCCCGGATAAGATTAACTAAACTAGCGGCATGTTTACATGTTTTAGAAACCTCGATGTATCGTAAGTTCGTAAACAGGTCAGCGTTTAGATCTGACTGACGTCGGAAGAGGATAAGCCGCTTTCTAAGTCCGATGATATTATAACATGTTGATAACATAACTGGGCTTAGCTATAAAAAATTTTGGAGTTCATCTTCAATCAATTAAAGTCGCTAAATTTTAGATTATTAGTTTTCGGTTCACTCCCCAGAACGTTATGATAGATTACCACAGTTCAGTTCCCATAGCTTCGTCGGCCACTATCAAAAACTGTTTCAGTGGGTGTCTTTTTAGAGCAGAGAATGTCAGTAGTTTTTCAGTAATAGTTGTGACCACGATTGTCACTATCGGTGTGTTTATTCACAAGTCTTGTTTGACTGAAAAACTAAGTGTCCACGTATTTTGTCTGAAACGAGAGCTTAAACCAGTGAGCTATATATTTGCTTTGATTGCGATCTAATCTCATTGAGATAAACCGGTTTCCTTTGTTCAACACACCGCACTTTCCATCAATATGAACCGTCGGTGACCAGAAAAAGTGAACAAAACGAAATAAATAAATTAATATTAAGGGTAAGATTAAACTGAATAAAACTATTTGTCATGGGTTCACTACAAACGTTGCTAATCAGCATTAAGTGCAAAACTACATGAATCAGCTGGTTTTCACTGACCCTTTCGTGATTTGTATACGAATTGGGGAAAACCAATGAACTGCCTTTCTGCGCTTCACAGACTAAAATGATCATATCTTGCTGACATTTTTTTCATTTCCACAGAATTTAAGAACCTTTAGAGGCAAACATGCTCCAGAGTACTAGTAAGTTAACTCTATTGATTCGAAACAATCCGCCGGCTTCGACAGCATGCTTGTATTACTTACGCTCAGCCGAAGATCCAGTTTCACGCCAGCTAACTCGTGGTAACCGGAAGTACACTTCGCATTCCGGTGGCAGTCCACCTCGATCGTCTCGGCGACCGGACAAAATTTCCATGGCCAGTTCCCGGAAGATTTCACAACGACGGGCTAAACCGCTGTCATCTGTTGGTACCAGCACGATCTGCACAGGGTTAGACACAGAAGCAAATGCTGATCGTGCAAATCACTCTCTTGCTTTCTTAATCGAGTAAATCACTGATTCCGCTTAAAAATGAAATTCCGTCACCAATCAATAAAATATCCGAGGTATCGAGTCAATGATAAGTGCTATGTTACTTTCAAACAGTAATAAGGTTAACAATCATGATGTAAAATCCACCGTTGGTTAAAATCACCAAAGTGATTAGGTGAACAATAGCTAATTTAATTGTACTTCATAATCACTGACCATGTCACCTCGGCTGGTGATGAAACATTTGCAAACAAATTGCCAAACTTGGCAAACAGGTGAAATGGAATACATATACCTGTTGTAAATCTAAACGGATTTCTCTGAGGTCAAATATCAAGAGTTTGTCTTGTTGTTTTAGAATTATTCGAGGTAACACAGATTGGAAGCTTTCAAATTAGGGTAGGGTGCAGACGATCGGTTGTTATTTCACATGTGGAGTGGTCTTTAATTTGGAATTAATGCAGTTTGACTGAGCAAAGTGATTGTCACGAGTACCATCAATGTCGTTATCCGAGTCGTCACCATCATCAACATCATCAACAAAATGTCACTAATCATCATTATCTTCAGCAGTGTTGCCTATGATTTACTCATTATAACGTATTTAAAGGAAAATTCAACTGAGCTCCGCATGTAACTAATTTGTGCTATTGCGTGTCTGAAATGACGTATAATCTTTCGGCACCATGCAGAATAGTCAGGAGTGGATAAATCAACAGAAACCCCGACAGATCAACCGATCTCGTAGGAAATTAGGCACACACAAGATACTTAACTGGTTTTAAGGCTGCATACCGGACCGCGGGACAGATTGGATACAATCAAGCGGTAAGGTTCAAGCTAAGCAACGTGATATTCGGGAAACCTTGAGTGAATAAATAAGACATACGCAGGATGGTAAAGCGTGTGTGTGTGTGTGGTAGTGGTGGTAAGCAGGGCGGGGGTGCTGAAGGTAGATAGCAGATCACTGAAAGAGGGCGCAACTGGTATATCAGTTGGGCCTGATGCCCACGGTGGACGTGGACTGAGATTGCTCACGGCTGCAACGCAAGACAAGCTTAAACCTAGGTTTGCTGGTTAGGTTATCATGCAGGGTCAACAGTTTTTTTCTTAAAGAGAATGAGTTTCGCCTCGCCAGCTGCCTACCTGAAGTTCTTTAAGTTAGGTGGATAGAAAATAATTCGCTCATTCATTGATGGAAGTGGTACAACAACCATAAAAGCAAACACACCCTGTACGAATTTCCCCAATCCAGAATGTTCATCGGTACGATGTTTCTCCTTTGTAAGCGCAGTCTGCCTGAAGTCTCTTTATTCACATTTAAATGGCTTCCAATCATCCAATCTTCCCTGTGCTTCTTCATCCAAATGATCAATCGAAAGACAGTAACTAAAGCTACTAAACCAAAGCGCACGTATGGTTAATAGTTGTATAAACCGAAAGTAAAAAATTGCCTCCACTTAATGGTTACTGAATTATATATATATATATATATATATATATATAACCAATCTTTACGCCGTCAAAATAATCATGGGTTAACGAAAAAGTTAGCTGCAGAAGCGGGGAAAGCAAAACAGTCAACTTGAGGGAGTAACATGTTTTTTGTTTGTTTGCCGCACGCCATTTTGAGTTTCTTTTCCGTTTTTGTTTATGTTTGGGATTGCACACTGGAGAAGATGTATTCACGCCACTCTCTTTAGTTCGATACCATATCCCGCAGCATCTCCAGTCAAAGACAATCTGACTCTTTGGGGCCCAAGCCGCGGAGCGGAAAGCCCCAACGGAAGCCAGATCCGAGCACCCCTTTCAGCTTTTATGCTTCCCCATTTTTGCTATTTAAGCAGTCTCACGGAGCACGGAATGGACACAATAATTTGCAAACAAGCTCCTTTTCAGTGTCTTAATCATATTGTGTTGTAATGGTACTATTAAGGCACATTGAAAACGAGATTGTTTGCAAATTTGTGCTCTTATTCGGGATATTCATGCTGCTGTGGCAACATGACAGTTCCGGACGAGGGTTTTGATGGTATGGTTGTCTATTGCGTAGCCCCAATTTCATATACTGACTGACGGTTTTGCAATAAGTAGTATCTTTAGCTTCCCAAAACATTCCACTGCAAAACATAGTGGGAACAGAGTCAAATGGACAGCTTTAGATTTCATTACTTAAATCAGCACAGCACTTCGGATTCACAGTCCATGAAACAGTTTGAAGAACGACAGCGATGGGTGAAAATCAATCATTGAGGGTAATCGTGCATCGCTTACATCCGTGATCAGTATTTCCGTGTATGGTCCACTGGGTTGTGATTCCGGCATAATGCGCAGAATGATTGGCAATCCCGCTTCCAAACAAACGTCCGAAATAATTATTTTACTTGTATCTGAAGTGAAATATATGCACAAGTGGGTAAGATGACAGAAAGAGAGACTGAAACCAAAACGTATAGTCTTCGAATGTCTAAAAGAAATGAGAAGGGACGACTAAAAAGGTTACTGCCAGAATTTACGGATACTGCACGCTTGAAATGCGAATGACTGGTCAGTCTGTTTCACTTTGTTCATACTCGAAGAACAAAGTGACTTAAATAAATGGTGGAATCTACTATCCGAGATTACAATAGAATTGTCTTGGACGATTGATGCATGAAACACTCTCAAACGAGCAAATATACAGTACTTGAGGAAAAATCTGCAGTTTAGGAAACGCATAACCGTGGGGACAAACTAACCTTGGTAGACGTTTACTGTCTGAGATGGATTCTGACATCTTGTTGCACCATGTTGGTATGGCTTGACTATTATGGTCCACTTGTCACCTTCTCCGAACTGGAAAAAAACAATTCAAAAACTGAACGTATTAATCTTGTCTGGTGAATAAATGAAAATGCTCCACAACTCCAAATCCGGAAGCTCTGTTTCTGGGTCTTTGTGTAACATGAAATTGGTGGATTTGCCGCCTTGGTGTATTGTGTCAGACTCCACAGTTTATGAAGAAGTCGACCAGTAGAAAAGCCCCTATCCAAGAAGTCCATGTATCACATTGGTATGAATTATCCCAGTGAAAGGAAATTATTCAGCTTCAGCAATGTAGTGCCTACGTTTGCAGCTAAGCTATTGGTTTGGGATAGGAAACTCACTTATTTTATATCTACCTAATAAGCTAAACTGAACAAGATAGACGAACTTAAGCTAGATCTGATCATGGTCTAAACACATTCAAATGGATGATATCAACAATAAATTATTGTTATGCTTCCTACTTTGTAATGTTTTGAAAACTTCAAAAATTCAAAAATTAAGAGGTGAATATTATAGAGGTCCTGAATGCATTTGTACAAAAGGCTTTTACAAAGACCACATTTACTAACGTACTTCTTGTCGAAAGGCATATAAGCAATAATTTCACAAAACTATTGGCTAGTGTCACCCCATCAGAAAATGGGAAAAGTAAAGGAAAACCAACTAACAGAGTCAACTAGTTGAAGGATTTAGGGGTTTTTCAAGAATGTAATTTCCGTTGATCTCTAAAAGCACGACGTTATTGCTTGCGAGTTCATAAGACTCTTGGTTCGAGTGAGAACACTGTTATTTTTGCATTGATGAATTATTGACCAGTATTTTAAGGCAGCATTGTTTTCAACATGTACCCTTTAGTGCTCCCGCATGATTTTAACTGGAGGCAGAATAAACTGCGGCGGTATTGACTCAAATTGACCGGCCATGTTTCCGTAACTTCCTTGTCTTTTCTGGTAATAACTATTTGTGACAGACACAGTGGTTGTGGCTTGGAGTTTACAAACTACTTTCCTGCACAGCATTCAGGTATCACACATCGACCAATCTGCGTAAACATTTAATTCCTGTACCTGCTCCAATAGTCAGTTTACCTTGTTTCGTTTATCTGCGTAGAAGAATTCCTGCATTAAAATGGGCAAAGTGAAAACCTGTTCTAAATATTCAGTGCATTGAGTAGTTGATGTGTTTTCATACAAAACCAAGTGTTTCGTAAGCTAGTATTACAATGGGTTTTTCTTTCTTTGACTGACAGTTTGCTTGTAACTTACTAAAGCTTAAGTAAAAAGTATAAACAAAGTGTCTACGATTCGTTTGATAAGAAAAAATCTAGGGTTGCAAGAAGAAGGCATTGGTTAAAGTGAGAGATTGATAGCTCGTTATTTTCGAACCCAATTTATAAACTACGCGTTATAGACAATAATTAAAATTGATACATTTCACTCTCATACTTACAATGCTCTTTTAAGTGTCCATTCTCCATGATGAAGCCATGGAGGTAAATTCAGTCTACTGGAGCTACGAGAATCGATTCTTACCAAAGTGTCAGTCATGCAACTGCGTAAAAACACAATCAGATAGCAACTGATACATCACTGAATATATACCTGCTTAGGATCCACATCTAGTACAATCACAAATCGTCCCTCGCCACGAGGTCCATCAAAAGTGATTTCTTTTTCCTCCGGTCGGTCGATCACTTCATGCGGTGGTCGCACAAAATACCCGTCTTCCACTTGACCGCAATCACGTCCTGTGAAACCGACTTTGCATTCACACTGTCCACTGATTCGATCACAGATTGCATTCTTCGAACCAAGCTGACTACAGGCACACTCCTGGCAGCCAAGTGGTGCCAGGGTCAGATTGAAATATCCCTCCTAGACAAACAAAAGTGGATTGTACAATCCGGTAGTTGGAATAGAGAAAAATGGGCGATTAAGGATAAACGAATGGAAAATCGTCACACCAAATTAACAGTAGGAGAACACTGCAAAGGCATTTTCGAAACTTTAAGCTGCAGGCTAAACGTATACGTCCACCCAGGCCAACTGCATCGGCACATTCGCTCAGTCTTTTTTAATTCGAGCTCTGAGAGTTCCTACGATGCTTCTAAACAACTTTGCAACTCCAAAAGAGAATAATAATCCCGAAAAAGGAAGTGATTCGACTGTAACAAATCACCTTGTATGATTGGAATAAGTGCATACGCTATGTCATTCACAAAATGCATGATGTATCTTGAGCAAATGATTTCCTTGCAGCGTTGGGAATCATCCAACTGAAATTAGTGAACAAAATTAAATTGATGGGCTGATGAACTTCTATTCGCTACGGATCAATCACCTTGCAGTCCATCTTAGTAACCAAATGGGAAGTGATATTTTCGTTGCAACAAAGGTTTTAAATCACAATAGAATTTTAGGCAACTTGTGATCCATGAAGAGTAGCGAAATTCTGAATTCACACGAAAGGTTAGTCGTTGTTCTTTCGGTCTTTCGAAGGGATATATGAATTGTTTTCATTAGTCACAATTATTTGGTGAGCACAATTGATAACTCAACCACTAAGGTGTTTCTGAAACTTATTGCATATGTCATATTACTCCGCCAACGGAACAATAATTCATGGGATTATCACAAAAGGAGGATTTTCTCGCAAGAAACTAATAAAAATAGTAAATTGCGCTCGACAGAAGTGGTTAATTGGCTCAAGTCTTTACCAATGCAGACAGTCTGAGATTCGAACCCAGACATCATGATTCATCTTTGATAGTAAACAGTTCTGTTGACACCCTGGTGAGCATTAGTTTCCCAACTAAAGTTGAATAAATTTCGTCAACCAAAAATGTTTGATCTAGCCACTATTTCCCCTCACTACGTAGCAGGGGCATATAACTGAGAACTATTGGCCAATGCCATACCGCATCAGCAATGAGCAGTAATTGCAGTAGTTCAACGCCTTGTGTATTCAGTGTGGTGACATTTCGAATGAAAGAGATCAGTGTGCGTCTGAGAAAATGGACCTAATTGCAGTACAGTAACCGGTAACCGTTTGAAAAAGCTCGCACTGGTCAACTGCGGACTAGACATATCTTGACCTCGCGGTCGGTTAGCCACGAGCAGTTTTTGGGACTAGAGACAGCTTTGTGAGGATGCAACCCTCTGGAGTAAACGACATTCTACGAAACGATACCGTGTTTATTGTGTCTCAAACCCTTGGATGATTCATGTGCATCTATGCCATCTTAGTTACAACTGTGAAAATATTGGATCGAATTAACGAGGCAGAGCGATGGTTCGCAGGAATTTGATCCGTTTACATTCATCAATCGCAAATACCGGTCAGCCGGTTTTGGTATGTGTGTGTGTGTGTGTCAAAACCTGTGCCGATAATCATGCG